TATATATATATATATATATATATATATATCTTCTCATGCGTTATTAAAGGACCAACAGTATATCTAATCTGGAAGGTTGGGAGACAAAAGGAAGGAAGCGGAGGATTACTGAGGTTTGTCTTTACTGTATTTCTTGCAGGTCAAGTGGAAGTCTGCTTGCTGTGCTGTGTAAACCTGTCCTCTATATGACAGATGGGCCCCCATGCACTCCACTTTAAGGCATTTTTTTTCCTCCTTTTTTGATATTGTCACTCTCAATCTACTTTTTCCCTGACAGACAAATGAAAGACCTTTCCATGGTTGGCAGCTCATTTCACTGGCAGGTGGCACACAATTAGACACAGCAAATAGAAGCAGGAGGGAGGGGGGGCATGAAAAGCATGAAACAAAGTTGTAAATGTGGTCAGGAGGTTTTGTGTGAAAGCATTTCAAAAATAATACACTTTGCTGCGGTGACTAATTTGAGGCTGCCAGCTTCCATTATGGATGTGAGCTGTGAGGACGATGGCCGGCCATGGCGTGCTCTGTGGCCGCTTCTGTTCAATCTGTCATCAACACCCAGGAGACCCCTGTCCTGTCAGCTGTCCTTTCTCCACATACTCCTCCATGTTTCCCCCTCCATTCATCAGGATCACCTAGCCCAAGCTCAACAACAGAATACATTAGGGACAAAGAAGTGTCCATTGTTGCTCTCATTTCAGAACGCGTTCTGCTCACCCTTCAAGGGTGTGCATTTGCTGAATTTGTCATAAACAATGTGAAATCAGTGGCAGAAATAGAACATTTGTGCAAAAGCAGCTAAAAAAAAAAAACAGCCAGAAGGAATCTGGGATCAGGGGGAGCTCAAGCTTGAAATCCCTCCAGCAGCAGGTTTGTAAACAGTCGGATCCAGACAGATTACTGTGCGGTTCAATCTAATCCAGGAATGTAAATAAACTAAAACACCACGACAGTGCTTGAGAGACCATTTCAAACACAAAAAAATTCCTGGTGAAGAGAAAGAGCACAAAACAAGTGGGCTTGAAATAAATAATGTGCTCCAGTCATCTTGGAAACCATTACTGCCATCCTGCATACCTGAGATAATCCTGATGGATTAAGATAACAATTTTACGGTTACTTGAGAGACCACATGCATGCAGGTTCATCAACAACCACAAATCTCTTTTTGATTTTCATGTTTCCCAGGTTGTCACTAGCTAATGGAAAGCATGATGCTTATACTTCAGACCAGTGGTTTCCAATTAGTCCTGCGTGTTTTTTTGTAGTTAGAGTTAGACGGCATTGTTTTAAACATATTAAAACACCAAATTCTATCATTTTTCTTCTATCTTAGTCAAAAGATCAGTTTACATCTCAAAAACGTGATCAAATTTGGGGCACCACATGGTTGAGCAGTGGTTACAATTCTCAATGCATGTTTTCCCCTTTTCTCTCTGTCCTTTCTCCTGTCCAGTTACTAATGAATAAAGGCAACTAGAAGCCTTTTTAAAAAAGTGAATTCTAAGCATTCACCGAGTAAAACCGTTACGTAAACATGACAATTTTCACCCAAATATATATATATTTTTTTAATTTTGGAAGTAGCTAATAACTGGTGCAAATGTGTGGGTGGAAAACAATGCTTGAATTTAAATATAAAATCCAAAGTATTAGATCAGAGTTCCAAAACAGGAGTGATGAGAGGGAGAATATACATAATGCTTAATGCCTACTCTAAAAAAACCATGTTGAGACCGTCTTACTCTGAAATCAATTAAAAAAAATAAAAAATAAATAAGATACATTTGTAATAATGATCCATGGCAGTTATTTTCAGGTAGTTACATATTAGTAACCGACTCAACATCTCACCTGTCAAAGGACTGAAACTGCACCGGCAGCACAGCCTGGGCCTTTGCAGCAGTGTCTGGGAAGGACACTGGCTCAAGTCCAGCCTCCACGCCCTCCAACGGGGCGGCAACCAAGCTCTTCAAAATCTCCTTGACATTGATGCCCTTCTTGGACTGACTAATGCTGATGACGGAGGAGGACGATTTGAGCACCTCGACATTAGAAGGTTCAGACAGGATCTCCTGGGACTTCTTCACCTCAGAGGAAAGTGTGGAAATGAGCTCGTTCACAGCACTAACTCCTCCCACTTTGTGATCCAGGCCAGACCCGTTAAGGATGCTGGCTACCTGCTCGTCCCCAATCCCAGAGTCTGTGTGGGGTAAAGAGGTTTCTATGTGAAGGTCTTCAGATGGCAAAAAAATCTCCTTACTGCTTGTGAATGACAGTGGAGTTTCTGTAGAAGAGAGACACAAATTAGGGAGCTTCAGGCACTGACATGCATACATAAAATAAATAACAAAAAATGTGTCATTGATGCATACACTTCTTGTTACCTAATGGTAACAAGAAGCGTATTGCAAAAGTATTGCTGCCCGTTGAACTTTTTTTTTTTACAGATGTCAAAGCATTACAACAAATTTCAAATGTTTTCTTTTTAGGTTTGATTTTCTGAAATTCATTTTATTTCTAAAATAAATAATACAGGGTTGACATGCATTGTGTTGTGTATTTGCGCCCTTTAACCTGATACCTTAAATGCAACCATCTGCATTAGCCAATCAGTAGAACGAGAAGATATTTACCAGGACTGGTTTAAATTAAAACATCTTTATAGTGTTAGAATGGTCCAGATGAAATCAAGATTCACATTCAAATTTGAATCTGTGGCAAAATCTGAGAATTAATGTCTACCGTGTTGATGAATGATTTTTGTGCTTTTTCCTGTTTCTGTGAAAAAAAAAGAAGATAAAAAGCAATGTCTTAATAATTAGGACTTATCAGGATAATAGTAAAATTTAACTAATGACAACTGCAAACCTCCAAATGTGGCCAAAACCTAGTTCCACTTATACATTTTACTGCCTTTGGTTCTATGAGACGCTCCCTAAATATAAAAACATTAAAAAAATATGGTGAAATGCTTTTTAGCCGTAAAATGCATTACTATATGTAACTGATGTACCAAAGCAGCCCATTTGATAAAGATAATTTGATCATTTTTGAACCTGTATTTGTGTTTATAGGTGTGAATACAATGGCAAACAGTATTGCTAAAAATACTTTTTATTGTCACTCTGATGAGTATTGTAATAAATGCCACAAAACATTGTTATAAAGATTTTGGTCCATATTGTTTATCAGTATTCTACAGATGTCCTCCATTCAATATCACTGAGCTTGAGCTATTTTGGAAAGGACTCAAATGTCAGTGTTTAGATTAGCGTAGTGAGTTGAAACATACTGTTACTGCAGTGAATGGTAGTGGTTTTAATACAAATGCATATCACAGCTTTCATATCTTTATAATCGAATTCATAACCACATAATAACTTTGTGTTGGTCTGTATTCTAAACATTGTAGTCTGCGGTTGCAATGTGGAAAAGATCAACCGGCACTCATACTTTTTGCAAGGCACCGTGTTTGTTTAATAAAATGGAGAAAGATGAATTCAGCACCATCTAAATTATTAACAGAAAGAATGCATGCGAGAGACAGCTTTACATTCAAAGCCAAAGAGCAAATATCGCATATGTAGAGTATGCCACATGCTGAGGGAGCCTCTAAGATCTCTTTCCAAAGGCTCTGATTTTCCAGTGAGATTAACTTGACTTTTTTTTCTCCTTCTGTGTTAATAAAACATGATTGATTTTTTTCTATATATCCATANTTNTTTATTGCTATTATTATTAGCATANTACATAACATTTTAATACATATTGCGACAAAAAAAAAAAAAACACATAAGGTGATGCTAAGAAAGTTTATCTAGTTCTCCAATTATTTTTAAAGAGTTCCAGAAGCTCCTTGTCGTTTTGATTGTAGTTTATCCCGACCCAGTGGTTGCTAAAATGCAAGGGCAAATATATTAATATTCATCACATGGCCCCCTAACGCGGTCAGCAGGGCCTGATTTAGCCTGCAAGTCGACGAGCTTCCTGGTCCATCAGACAATCGTCTGCCACATGCCGTCTGGAAAATTCCCCTATTTTCTGGTGAAATTTATGAAGGCGGCAGTGTGCCTTTCTCCTCCCAGCAACCTCTATGATCCCATTCTCCTCTGGTGGATTGCTTGCCTAATGGGCACTGACAGATGGGGCTGAAAATAGCAAGCCTGGCTCCACTGCCCCAAAAACCCACAGCTTTTTCATCTCTTAACTTCTCGCTGCTTATCTTCTGTGCGTGGTCTCAGCTCTTTAAATTACACTTACATATTCCCTTTGGCCGCTCTCCCCTACTTCTATTTTCTTTTATTCACTTCACCTTTTATCTCAATGAAAGTTGATAAGGTATGTTCACTCGCACATTTCACAAAACCAATTTCCACTGCTGCAGACATTGTGTTAAACCTTTGAGGGCAGCCAATGATTTCCTTTCATGTGACTTAATGTATGATTTATGACGCCAGGCACTTTCTACCTTTTATTTCAGAGTGGATGTTGATGCCTATTCAAGTTTCTAACTTCAGACTTCAGCACAAGTCTATTTGCTTCCACACTGAATTGTGTGCAGTGCAATTAGCAGAACTCATGAATAAATCATATTGAGCTGGTGGAACACAGGCAGGGGTATCCCTGTTGTTATAGTGAATGAGCACTCAGCTCCTACAAGCTGGCAACAGAACAAGAGAAAACACTCCAGATACTTAGCATTTTGTTAACCAGGCACAGTCACTTCAAACTAAGATTAGATGACCAGAAGAACGGACGCAACAACAGAAAGGGGCGTAGCACCTTTGCTGGTCGGTGAGTTGATCTCCTGGCGAACGCTGCGGCCTAACTGACAGCTCATCTTCCCAGGCTCACACTGAGGCTCAAGGATGTCACGGTACTTGGAAACCATGAGGACAGAGATGAAGTACACCACAGCCAAAGCCAGGAACTGGGCTTGTTTACTGTCATCCTGTGGGAAGACATCACAATAGTTATCTAGCTTTCTATTCAGATGGCCGGATTTTCTTACAAACACAGAAGTACATAAAAATACAATGCCGCAACTTTCCAAAAATAGGCTTATCTAAAAACATCCACCTCAGCAGAATAGTTATTCAACATACTAACAAAATATGCCTATTGTTTTCCAGTAAGTAAGACTTATTGCACTTAAAACTCCAAAATGGGAAATGTGAAAGTATTTACCAAGAAATCAGTTAGTGACAGAAACCAGGCAATATTGTGCTTCATTAACCTTAACAGGTCCCCAACCCAGGTCCTCAGGGCTCTCTCTACTGCATGTTTCAGCCGTTTCCCCACTAAAGCACAGTTGATTCAAATGATTGCAATACCTCCCTTGGCATGCCTTCAATTGCTGCAGAAGCCTGTTAATCAGCCATTCATGATGTGTAGCGGCAGGGAAACACCTAAAACATGCAGGACAGTGGGCCCTGAGGACAAAGGTTGGGGACCACTGGTTTATGGTGTCAGTAAGTGAAGTCAGGGAAAGCGTAAAAGGCGCAAGCTATTTAATAAAAGCTAGTTTGTCCACACCAAGAAGCGACTGTGGTTAATTTCAGCCATGAACGAGTGAGAAAAAGCTGTTACAATGTTGCTTAGTCATAAACTCTGTCACAAAAGGCAAGTCTTCAGAACACACTTTTCTTTAGAAGAAGCGAGCAGCATCAAATTTAGCAACTTTTTATAGGTTTTTGTTTTGTTTTGGTTTTTTTTTTTTTTTTTTTTTTTTTTTTTTTTTTTTTTGGTTTGGTTTCTGGCCAGCAGCAGATGCTTGCCTCATATTGTCTACATAATTAATTACCTTTCATGGCAATAAGACTAGAAAAACATTATCAGGATTCCAACAGTTCCTACAAAGAACTTAGCTTATGCTGAACTGAAAGCTTCATCAGGTCAAACACTTGCAAAAAACAGAAACTGATAATGTGTCACAAAACTGATTGATATCTCTCTAAATTGTGACAAACATTTGTGTGTCTTCTGGAAAGGGTCAAACCAAAGGTGTCCAACTTCAATCCTCAAGGGCCAGTGTCATCTATGTTTAAGATGTGGTTCCTTACACATATTAGCAGACCTTTTCAAGGGCCTGCTAATAACCCATTTATCTGATTTAGGTGGGTTGAACTAAAACACGCAGGACGTTGGCTCCTGAGGACTGACTTTGTGATAGCTTGATCAGGCTCACCACATCACGAAACACAACAGCTCGCAGTCTGTTGATGTCCACATCCTGCAGCAGCCGATCAGGATCTTTGATTGGAGACAGGTTAGTAGGGCCAGCCTCTCCAGATGTCTAAAAGAGAAATTCATCATCACTCGCTTTGAAATTATTTGGAAAAAAAAAAAAAGTTTTTTTTGGAAACATAAAAAGGCGGATAAAACTAAAACCAAAACAAAAACCTCATGGCAAATTTTGAAAATGATCATGAAATATTTAACTAGCTGAAGTAACAGAATTTAGATTTGCAATATGTGAAATGCTTCATTATATCATACCTTGCAGGTCACAGCATTCTGTAAGATTTCCTGAGTCCTGTTGTTGTGCCTCTGTCTAAACTCCAGACAGTTCCTTACAGCCATACAGCAGACTGTACACAAAGGACACACCAAGCACACAAGCAGGGTCCTATTTCAGAATCAAATGAAAATTAAATGTTGATAACATGCATGACGTCTTTAAACCTAATCAGTTATCTCTGATGACTATTTGTTCCAGGCTGACGGCAAGGGGAGCAGGAGGAAAATCAGCAGCCAGACTGATTTCACACTAAAGCAGTGATGAGAAATTGTATGTTTGGAAAAAGGACACTGAAGTCTGAAGGCTATTTGCCGTCCCCTAAACTGCAAGTTGGGGACGGCAACAATCAACCAAATGCGAACTTACAAACACACAAACCCACAGGCACAAACACGAGGATAAAGATGAGACTTTATACAGACAAAAAAGAACAGCTGACTCTAGAATGACTTAATTTCGAATGTAGCAATTATTTGCTTTTGTTTGAGTACAATTCACTATTGCTTGATTACATTCACTGAAAAACAGATATACAGAAAGGCAGAGGAAACCTCAGATTCCCACATCTAACAGAAACACAAAAGGCATTTGCGAAGAGAATACGACTGCACTGCAGATCAGTCTCCCTGCTCTCTGGGAATTTAAAAATAAAAACTGCAAAGAAACCCTCTGCATTCTACAATTTACTACACAATTACCAAAGGATCCTTAAATTAATTAGCTCTGCTGATCAAACAGGGGATTTAAAGGGATTAGAGGAATTAATATTATGTGAAGCGAACACTATTGTATCTTCCAACTCAATTCAATTTCTGTTGTACATGCATGAATTAATGATACTGTAATTTTCCATCCCCTCCTTCGCACTGACATTCAGTCAGCAGGAAACCATCTCGGGCAAACAGAACCTACCCAGTCGGAGGCACTGGCGCATCAAACCACCAGAGGACATGTTCTTCTCAGCCTCGATCTCGCTGAAGTTCAAGGAGCTCGAAAACACCAGAACGTCCACCATAACCATGAGACGAGACAAGAAAGTGATGGCCGTCTCTGAGGACATGCCCTGCGTCGCCTCAATGTTCTCCAACTCGGTCTTGAGTGATTAAACAAGAGAATTAAGTGTAAAACATTTAGCTGACAAGTTTTCAATTGAGCCAGTAGTCTTTCACAAAAGCAAGGCTATAAGTATGGAAATATTTAGTACTGAAATAGAGTGGCTCGTCAATGCATGTCATGGCAAATGAGGAAAACAAGACAAACCAGTAGGCATTTAAGAGGTTTTTTCTAAAAGAAAATATCAATAGGGTCCAACATTAAAAGAAAGTATTTTAAATGGCATCAGTACTGACCTTGACAGTCTAGTTGAGTGCCAAAAAAGATAAAGAAAGAAATATTATTAAAATCCATTTAGCCATAAAACGTCTCTTTGCTATTTATGAAATGGGGATACAAGTCAAACAAAAATGACAAGGTTGTTGAAAGGTAAAAGTTATCAAAGTGAACAAGAGTATTTACAACAAACTCAAAATCAGGATAATCACAAGATGATCACAGAACTGGTGAATTTCAAAAGATTATCAAAACTTTAAATTCAGTCATTCGAAAAGTGAAACGTATTTATTGCATAGACTAATTACACAAAGAGTAATATAGTAATATATAAGAAATGGTTTTTTTTTTTGGTTTTTTTTTTTATGAATTTTGATCATTCTCACAGCTGATAAAAACCCAAAATTTAGTTTTTCAGAAAATTTCAGAAAGAGACATTTTTAATAAAATGTGTAGTGGCATATCCCATAGTGGAGAAGCTGACTTGACAGTTGTTCACCCTCCACAAGGAGGGTAAGCCACAGAAATTCATTGCTAAAGAAGTTGACAGCTCCCCCAAGTGTTATATCCAGACATATTAATGGAAAGTATAGCAGAAGGAAAAAAGATTGGTTGAAAAAGATGTGCCAGCAACAGTGATAAGGGCAGCTTTGAGTAAACTGGAAAACAAGTTGATTTATAAGTTTGGGGCAGATTCCAGAGTCAAGGACTTGAACTAATGTCAGCTCTTTAAAAGCCACAGCACAGAGAGACATCAGGATATGATTAAACTACTCCTGAACCAGAGACAACTAATAACCAATGAAGAGGCTTGTTTACGAGAAAAAGTCTGGGCTGTTGCTCAGTGGTGGAAAAGTCATTTTTAAGCTGAAAGTAAAATTTGCATTACACTTTTAAATTCAAAGTCCCACACATTTTACATATGTCACTACGTGTAATCTGAATAAAAAACACATGTTGGATTGAAAAAGTACCACTGCATGCACATTCATATGTTATCGCTGTAAATGCAAGACAAATATAGAGCAAAGCAGTTGCACTTAAGATCCACTAGATGGCAATATATCCTTTCCCTAGAGTGCGATACAGATGCACTTACGGAGGGAGAGGTGGCCGCAGAAAGAAGGGGCAAAATCCCTCCACAGGCGATGATTATGTTATCTACCATTTGGGAGATGAGATGGATGGTGTTGTGGACAAAAATGATGTTTTCATTGCTGTTAACAAAGTCCATGACAGATTTGGTGCAGTGGCTGCAGAGAGACATGGGGACAAGGTTATCGTCATGACAGTTTTTTTTTTTTTTTTGGGGGGGGGGGGTGTCATAAACAGTATTTAGTCTGAACCATTCTTATCCGATCAGCAATCGCTACGCAGAAAAACTCCCCTCCCTTTGATCATGTTTAAACTCCCTCTACAATTACTTCAGTTCACATAATACACTTAACACACCTTCTCCAGGCATGGACATCACTCTCCAGAGCAAATAGCAGGTCAGTGAGCAGTCTCTGGTGCATGGGTGACCATTTGAACTCTGGAATGCGGAACATTGTAGTGCGGGGACCAGGGCTGAACTGATGTCGCTGTTCCTCTGTTATGGGGACGGCCCTAAAGCCAAGGTCCGCCCGAATGTCCTTTTCCAGCTGAGAGACTGGGCGTCCATGCACACTCTGATGGGAGAGCAATTTATCACCAAAACAAATACAGCCTGGAAGGCACATGCAGTGTGATGCTTGTAGAATGTGGAGGATAGATGCTAATCCAATAGCTCTGATCATGACCTCGATCGTAAAATAAAGAGCAATTGTCAGATCATTCACCATGAAAAACAAAAACTGACGGTTTAAAGTATTTAGTTATGTAACCTCTTTCTGCTCGCTGGTGCAAAAAAAGTGTATTATATGCTCAATGAGACGTCTAACATAAGATGAATGAGTCAGCAAGATGCAGCATAAAACCTGTTTTAGAATCAGAAACAATGAATTCAACATAAGCAATTATGTAACCGGAGAGAGAAAAATGGCCTTAAAAGTGAAAGCTGCGTGTTGCTCACCCACTGTCAGTGACCCAATCTAGAGAAAGAGCCTAACCTCTAAAAGAAGAGGGGGGAAAAAAGAGCAAACCCTGAGCAACTGTTGTAGAATAACGTGTTGTCTCTTCCTCCCTTATATTGCCTCAGTTAACTATTCCAGCAACCCAGATTCCTGAGTCTCAAAGGGATGATGCCTTATGTGCACCAGGCCTTCCTGTCCCCATTACATCCACAGTGCAGCGAGAAAATGATCTCTGTGGCTCTGTTGATACAGAACAGTGCACTTGGGGCCAAACAGTAACAACCTCCTTTTCACCTTCCTATTTGACGCCAGGGCTGCTATGTTATTTTTTGTTTCCCTATGTTTAAGAAGTGGACTGTCTAATTTCATCATTTGTTGCAAATCTACAAAAAGTAAGGTAAAGGAGATATTAGCTATGTCTACTTTTTTTTTTATTTCGCAATTACTTTCTAAACTAAGAAATGCCTTAAGATTTAGCTTTTCTGTGAATCACTAAACTGTGGTTCTAATACGACTTTTTCTGAGAACTGCTTCACATCTGTGTTGTATAAACTCAACAAACCTTTGACACTTGTGGACAGCCATTCCAGCCCAGTACAATTGGACTACATCCTACAATTTTTCTGCATTTCTTGTTTATTTTCCTTAGAAAAATGAAGACTTGTTTGAAGTTGCACAACACAGGTTGTCTAATGAATTAAGATCTAGGGATTGGGAAAACAACTTCATCACTTTAGACTTGTTTGTCTGATCATGCGGCTCTCTTGTTGGTCTTTGGTATTGTCCGTCTCTTAAAACATTCTTTTCAAGTAGTTTAATGTGTTAAAAATTAATCTATAATCTCAATTGAACACAACCACATGAGAAACATCTCCTTAGTTTGATGCCAGAGTCACCGTTCTTCATCTCAGAAACTACCTATACACAAATAGGACTTGCTTTCATCAGTCTAATAAATGTTGCCCCATTTGCCCTGTGGCCTAAAACAGTCTCATAATTCACAAATGCACAGATCAAGATTCGCAAATGTACAGAATGAGATCCAGAAATGCACAGGAAGATATCCACAAATACACAGAACAAGATTCAAACTTGTATTTTTGATGCAAACACAAATATATCTTGATTTACAAGCTGCTTCTGCCCCGTGACTTGTGCTGCATTTGTGAGTGAATTTTGAGACTCCCCTGATGTCTCAATCCACAAATGAATTTTTTAAAATAAATGGTCTATCTGATTGGATGATCAACAACCAATCAGATAGCTTCCTTTTTTCAACCAATCATATCAACAGGCCCCAAAGTTTGTCGTTTTTTTTTTTTTTTTTTTTTTCTTGGCCACTCTCTGTTTCAAAGTTGCTAGGCAACATGAGTAACGCTGAAGTGGGGGGGACTTTTCTGAAAAATTCACTAACTGCACTGCACTGCTTGTTAAGTAGTATAAGAGCATTTCAAAAGAGCAAAAGAAATCTCAAGTATTTTGAACAATAATACTTGTTGCTTAACCTATACAGATTAACAACAAATAAACACGTGTTTTCTGGTAACTAAGTACTACGAAGTAAACATCTGATTTTTACTTTTGCTAAATTTACCAACTGTAAATTCTTATTAATTTGGTGTTAAGAGATGAGTGTTTTTTTTTGTTTGTTTGTTTGCTTGTTTTTTTTCTTCTGGTAACTAACTGCCACAAAGTATCAACCTTATTCCTGGGAGGCTTACTGGGGAAACGATTATGGGTATTACTTCCGACACCCACCGGAAGTAGCAGTATTTAATTTTAATTTGTAGGTTTTTTTGCTAGCCTATATTCATGATAGAAGTTACCTCTCTCTTTTCGGTCATAATACAATATTTAGTAAAACTTGTTTACAGAAACACCATCTGCTATCAGAGAGCTTCTCAGTACAGATTATCGTAATTGTGAGTTTAATCATGGGGAGCGACAGGAACACGATCGTTAAGTTTTATAACGGAAAGACAGTGAATTAGCAGTGATGCTAGCAGCTCTTTTCTCTTAAGAACTGACAGTAAAAGCAGAGAAGCTGGTCAGAGATCTGAGCTGCAGGTACATAATATTAGCTTGGTGTGATGTGAAATTTATTTTACGTTTGAATTGAAAAAAAATAATAAAGTTCATGATACAAGTCTTTGTCATTATGATTGGGCCAGCAAAATTTATTTATAAGACAAAATAAAATATCTGGAATTATGTAGTGGTCCATCACAAGAACCGAACCGAATCACACATTAACCTGTTATAGAGAGCAACTTACCACTGGAAAGCGTCGTAAGATGCCCTTGTGGAGCTCGGGTAACTGTTGTGCTGTTCGAGGTTGTATTCTAATAAACACACCACGTTTAGTTTGTGGCTGCAAGTGTGTTTTCAACATGCTCCCAAAACAAAAGCGGTAGTTTTCACTGCCTACAGACAGATAAAGCAAAAAAGAATTTGGCTAAAAATTCTAAACTTGAAGAGAGAACCCAAAATGCTTTATGTGTGCTCATTTCATTGTGTGGACAAAAGCCAATGGAAGAAAATCCGCATCTGCATCCGAAGCAACTTAGTGAAGTAGATACATATGCTGGTGCGGGTAGCTACTTGAAGAAATGCCGCCATTTCTTCAAGATGCCATCCCTCCCCGCAATAGCTGTAGGTTGCAGTAAACCTATATTGTTACATTTAAGCTTTGATAGCTGGTGCTCCCACATATTGTATAGCCTAAAAGATCTGACGAAAACTGGTTAGCGAGTTGCTAACATGTAAACAAATGGCGGTTCCGGTTTGCGGCAGAAGTCGCGCCCATAAATCACGCAAAGCCTCATGGGGGCTAGGAATAAGGTGGATAAATCATATTTTTACTTTTGTGTCAAATGTCTGTTTTATAATACTGTATATTTACCACCAAAGACAAAAAAAATCACTTTTCTACAAAATTCACCAACTGCACAATTCTTGTAGTGTTAAGCCCCTTGTGCACTGCACAGCTGGACCCAGGTCGACCAGCTGTGCGGCACTTCCAGCCCGGCTCCGTAGAACCCCGAGAGCTGCGCTTCCAATCAGGCCGGCCATACCGGGCCGGTTTGAAGTTAGCATTTGATTGGTTCATTGGCTGTGGGGGCGGGACAAAGACTAGATGTCTGGATCAGAGGAGCACTGATGGCTGTCATTTCAATATGCTGCATCAATAAATTCCCGTCATAATCTATTTTTACCCTACACTGAGATTACATTCGCCTCCTCAGCTAAATATTTTACTGGTAAATGTAAATAACATTTCTCCAATCAGAAGTCGGCTAGGCTGTAAACGAAGGGATTTCCGCAATTCACGTCGCTCCAGCTGGGAAATCCCGCCTGCCGCAGCGGTTGTTCAGCTGGCCGCGAGTCCAGCTCAGAGACAACATTCAGATGTTTTTTTTTTTTTGTTTGTTTGTTTGTTTTGTGTTTGTTTTTTCCCCTTAAATGTAAAGCTGAGGTAAATGTTTCCCTGAGCTTGTGTAACCCAGCTGTATTTTATTTGTTTGTTCTGTGTTATTTGCTTTTCTGTATTGTTTGTATCTTATGGGTAGTGTCCCTTTAAGAGCAAAGCACGACATCACTTTACGGCAGCGTTCCGACTGCAGTTACTAGGGAAACTCCCGGGCTTTAGAGTTTCAGAGCTGCTGCGGAGTAGAGACATGCCAGTCTCTGCCGTCCTTCTGCATAGCGCTTGACTTCTTTATGCCTGATATATGATGTTTTCCTGCTAGGTGAGCATTACTGGAGATTTGTGATGTCGTATGTGCTCTTAATTTTATATAACAAGTCATCGCTAATTCTGTAATGTTTTAGAAACCAAACTCCTGTTTTACCGTGGGTATTGTGAGTTAAACTGACTGTCGAGATTGTCGTGTTAAGTGACATATTTCATTTTCATCTATGTTGATGAGGTGCTTATTATTTTATGGAGTTATATTCCTGATAAAGAATCTTACGTGCTGTTTTAAAATGGAGCACACCGCTCTTAGTTACTAGGGAAACTCCCGGGCTTTGGAGTTTCAGAGCTGCTGCGGAGTAGAGACACGCCAGTCTCTGCCGTCCTTCTGCATAGCGCTTGACTTCTTTATGCCTGATATATGATGTTTTCCTGCTAGAAAGGGACACTGGGAAGGTGCTCCTGTGCCTGCGGAGGAAGAGAGAGAGGCCGCGGAGTTTCTGTGTCTGTGGACATCGGCTGCCGTCGTCATTCTGGGTCGCCATCCCAGCCAGGACAACCTCTTTCATCGTTTTGTACGAATCAGACACACACACAAATATAGAGCTCTATATGAACTATTTTTTTTTGCTGGCCAGCTACTTTTAATTAAATTTTTTTCTTTTTACCAAGGACCCTGAAAGGATTCTTTATAATCGAAGTATTTTTTTTTTCTCTTTGTGGGTTTTTCCAGGAAAACTGTATGACAGTGTTGAGACGAAGTTGGATGTGTTTCAGTCCAGTAACTTGTAATAAACATAACTGGTTGATAGTAAACTGCTATCTGAACCCGAGTAGATTCTGTTCTTTGGTTACACTTGCACACTCATGAGCGCATACAGTAAAAGCCCGAAAGGTCTGGGAATCCTTTAAAATGGACATGGTCTGTCTATGGAGGACAAAGTCTTGGTGGATCACATTATTTTACAGAATGCAGGAGTCGTTCTCACGATCCGATTTTATGCCTCGGTGATTCCTGAGGGAGACAAATAAATATTTAATTTTAATCACTTGCTATCGGTTGATTTTTTTTATTATTATTATTATATTCAGGGATGTACACACCCCTGAACTACCAATCAAAACTTTTTATATTACATTTAAAAGGGAAGGAGGGAGAGAGCGCGGTGTGTAGCATATTTTGGCAGATTGCTCAGCCTTGTGTAAATAAAAAGAAAAAAAAATCACTTCTTGTTTCTGAAAAGCGTGACTTTGGTGAAGTATTACATTGCTATAATTTATTATTTAAGGACCAGGACTTTATAACAATTTATAAGGCTATTATTATATTGAATACATTCAATTATATAGAAAGACGTTAGCCTGGCGCTATTAGCATGAAGAAGCGCCAGCATAGCTCGGTAGCACAGCTTTCTCACTAAGATCGCTAGCTAGGGTTCATAGTTGCACAATTAAATTGCTTAACATTAATAATCATAACATGGAGATTAATGGCTAAATATGTATATTCCACTTACCACTCCTCTGTCGCTGCCATAAGCCAGGCTGATGTCTAAACTGGCTGTGCTTCGACATGGCTACAGCGCTGTTGGAATGGGTTAATGTGATTGGCTGAAACATAAGGTACCCCAACTGGGGTCCGTTCATGTGATTGGCTGAAACAAGGAAGCTGTCTGATTGGTTGCTGATCATCCAATCAGATAAAACATTTATTAAAAACCAACATTTGTGGATTGAGACATCAGGGGAGTCTCAAAATTCATCACACACAAATGCAGCGCAACTCATAGACCAGAAGCAGCTTGTAAATCAAGATATTTGTGTTTCCATCAAAAATACAAGTGCGGCTCTCGTCCTGTGCATTTGTGAATTATAAGACTGTTTTTCAGTGTTTCTTTACACGGTAGGAGATGACAGTACTACCTATACATAATGCAGAAGAGCAGATAAATTTGTAGTTTTACTTGAGGTGGCAGGAACAAGATCAAAGTTCTAAGAGGTAAGCTGCATAACTTCTGGAAAGTCCTTAAAGTAAGCCTTCCAACTGCAGGCTTTGTTAGCGTAGTATAACAATCAATTAACCAATCAATTTTAATCAAATTACAATGTTCTTTAACATCTTGAATGACCCATTTTACTCGTATTTTCAAAACTATATAGACCATCACTATGGATTTGGGAAACATTTGTTTTTGTTCATAGCATGAATGACCTCAAACTCCACACAGCTATCATTTTAAATATCCCCTTTCAATTAAGTATTGAATTAGAATGAATCAGCATCATTACTGTTGGGTCTGTTTTTTGTGGGAGAAGGGGATGTGGGATTCTGCCCCTATTAGTACATTATTTGCAATGGTTGGTAATGTTCAGCTTCTATCATTTTTGAACAAATCTGTATATTAAATGTTTTTGTGTGACTTAAATACAGGACAAGACTAACCTGTGTTGTGGCTGTTGTCTGAATCTTTTTCATCTCCTTGTCTTTGCCATCATCTGACCTTGCAGTCTCAGAGGCGTTGCTCCTTGTCTCTACTCCACCATTCGTCTTATCAGCCAGCAATTCCCCTTCAAATTCTGTTGCACCGTCGGAGGTCTGTGGGATTTTGGAAAAGCCTTCAGTTTCTGAGTTCATGTTTTCCAGCACTTTTTTGAGTTCAAACTCCTCCTTTACCAAGATGCTGGGTAAGGAGCTGCCTGTCATGTGAGCCAGAAGGCCAATTTCATCCCTGGATCCAGTGTGATCGGGAAGCTCTGAATTCGGCAGGACCAGAGGCTCAGCTAGGCTGAGATCCGGTAGGAGATTGTCCTCAATGCTGCCCGTCACCTTGCCAAACAGGAAATTGTTATTTTGAGGGATGTCGTCCTTCTCATCATCCAGTGTAATGAGAGGGGCAGCATTCTGGTCATTCATGCTGCCCTTTGGCATCAACATACTGCTGACATTATTGTCGAGCTTCCGCACAGCGGCACAGTAAACATTATCCAACAGAGACTCCACCTCAACCAGAGGCCCGTTCTCAGATACTCCCACTGTCTCAGAAGACAGCTCTGTGTCATCCATCTTCACCTCTGTAGCTTCCACCTTTTCAGCTTTGATGTCCACAAGAAGGTCATGAACTGCAACTCTGACCCCATCTATTGTATTCTCAGATCCCCCGAAGTCTCCCTCAGGCCCCTTCCCTTCAGTCAGCAGGTTGCGCGAATCAGCACTCTCGTAGTCTGCCTCGCTGTCGGGGGTCTGGGAATGATCATCAATTTCTCCGATCTCAATCACATCTTTGATGTTTGAGGTCTGAGCAGAGAGACCACAGATGGTGCTGACCAAACCCTTCTTCCCTTTCTTTATGTTCTCCTCCTCCTGACGTTGGTACTCTTCATACATCTTTGCTAAATATTCTTTGTGCGCCTCATACGTCACCTGTGGAGAAAATTTAACGAAATACATATAGGATATACTGTAATCCTCTGACTATTATTTAAATGGTTGGCAGATTACTTAAAAGGTCTGCCTCAGCATCAGAGGTCAGTGTTTCTCTCTTTTGTGCTGCACTCACCTTAGAGTGGGCTATAGAGAGAGTGTCCACCCACACACGCCATCCTCCCCATTCATACTTGATGGCATGGTAAAGCAGAATACGGAATATGTTGTACATCATCTCAGTCATTTTCTGTTCTTCTGAGTTTTTGGGGTTAATGTAGCCGAGAGAAAACATCCAGTCTTGCCATACAGAGCACTGCAACAGACACCTGCAAAATTCCAACAGTGAAAACAAATTGGCTTCATGTAAACTGGATAAAACATTGACAAGTAGTACATATTAGGTAATATTTACTACTTGTCAGCTTCTGTATGTTAGAATCTTCTTGCCTTAACCTGATAATAGTCTATTTCAGTTAAATAGTTTAACTTAGCTCTATAAACTCCATGCCTTCAACATCCTAGTACAAGGTTTTGTGAGGTTGAAGTGTGATTCTTCATTTCCTTCAGTAACTGAACAATCATTTGGCATTTTAAATGAACAAAATAGGCTTCATAATGAAATTTGTTCATTTGGATTTTGTTTCAGTCTATTCCTTTGAATCTATTCCCTTTTTAATGGCATATTACATATCGCTACATATAAAGCTTTTGTTGACACCTCAGTAGTTAGAAACGTTGAATATATTTATGAGATAAATTACATAAAAGTTTGACAACCAATTAAATAACTAGTACCAAAAACGGAAAATACGCCTTGCACATGTCATGACTACGGTTACTTTCTTCTCTTACAGGGTAATTATATATAGGTTTCGTGGATTCTCTGCCTTTTCTCCTGGATTCATTCATTGATCTGTCAGATAATTAATAAAGCAAGTGAGAAAAAATGTGGTCTAAGTCTACTTGCCGTCTGTTGTCTCGACTGCTGCTGAAGAGTTTGATCATATCTGAAAGGAAGAGCCGCCGGACCTCCATCAGTTCTGTGCCGGGGGCGGAGCTCTTCAGTAAATTTGCTACGACCTTGAGAATCACTGAAAAGAAATACATTTACAAAAAATAAAATAAAAAGTACACACTTTGTTAATTCCAGCAATCAATTACTGTGGAAGGCAGAGCAACTTGACATCAAGCAGGCTTACTTGGATTCTGAATCTTGACAGTGGAGTCAGGCTCAGGATGAGGTTTGTGAACTACCTGTGTGCACACCTGCTCTGTCAAAATCTGGGATGAGGAGCAGTGAAAAGATTTCCATCACACTCACACAGTTCATAATAATTGAGCATTTATGGGAAAAACAAACAATGCAGTTACCTCATAAAGGGTGTTGTAAGTTGTAACAGACACAGTGTTGGTGTGCAGCATAAGCCTCTCGCCCAGAAGAGTAAAAAGGCTGTGTGTGTGCATGATTTCCACCTTCCTTCTGTTAATACACACATACACACACGCAGAACGGTGAAGTGGTGTGTTTGGAACTTCCTAAGCCACTCAAATCAGTGAGTGCCATCAGCTTGCCTCCCTATGCTCATCCACAGGGAGCCAGGCTCTAGAGACAAGTGTCAGGAAAACCGCCTGCTGTCATAAATTGGGTGAATTTTGTCGGAGGTGTGTATAGGATAAAGAAGTTAGCCTGTCACCAGGAGTGGCTCAAGATACCGAGGCATACTACAGGTGAATAGGTTCAACAGTGACAAACTGAATAAGAAATGCTGTCAGCCAGAGCTTCTTTGTTCGACTTTTTTTTTTTTCCTTTCACGTTGTAAAGCTTGGAAATTGGGCACTTAGAAAAAGAGCACCTTTTCTTTCAGCTGCATAAATATGGAAATTTGAAATGAGAGCAGACTGATGATGTATTGCCTACTGAACTGTAAAGCACGAATGTTAAAAGAATGAAGAGAAACAGAGAAGCTTTGCTTTCATGAGACTAGAGACAATGTCAAGATTTTTGACAGATTATATATTTCCACTGAACTGAATGAAGGTAATTTAGTTACAAACCACTGAAGACTTTGTTCCAAAATTTAATGTAAAACAAAAAATGGTTTATATTAATTCCAATGTCTGTATTTGCAGAGGAGAGAGAAAGAAAGACAAATTTGACCAAAATTTAAAACTGCGTAACATTTGCTCTTTACATGGCTTCCAAAACTAAGTGGTATACAGATACAAACGGTACGTTTTGAAACCAAGAACAAACACTGATCACTGCTACCCAAACAGTATGATTTACACATTTGTCTGCAAAAGCAACCTGGAAATAAAATACTGTGGGAAAGAGCTGAGATTTACAAGGTTTTATTTCTGCCTGCAGTAGCATAACTTGGCCTTATGCCTAACCTTATTTCCCATTCGGCATCACCACTCCCTGGCACTCCACTGCTGTGAGCGCAGCATCACCATTTATCCTCTCTGCTCACCCTGCAACCTGCATTTAAAACTGTAAGCTGTCCATCCAAAAAAGTTTCTTATTATCTGTCTTGACATGATGTTCTAACATTTTAGTTTGTTTTGTTTTTTTCTTCTTCTTAACTGCATCTTAGGCCTCTTCCGATCATGCTAATTAATGAGTAAAGGCATGGTGCAAAGACTTCACTTCAGGAGACAAACAGGTTCAACTCATGTCCACAAATAAATACTCAGATCATTCTAGAAGAATCCACTTATGCACTTTCAAAATTAATTATGTGCATCCAAGTCATAGTACAGTAAATTCCAAGTTTAGTTTATAATGCCGGTTGAAATAAGGTTACCAAAGCAAACCTCACAGATTTTAGTTTGACTCTTTGACTTGCTCCTTTTTGCAAACATGTCGGCTGAATGTTGCAGTCGTTCAGTGCAAGAATCAGACTTTTTTTTTTTTTTTTCAAAATTAGGTAGGACAAATTTTTTTTCCATCTTCTTTATATTGTTCAGTGCTACAATCTCTGAGCTTGTGAAACTATCAATAAAACAATTTGTAGAAATTAGGTAGCTACCCACTGCTGCCATGTTCTGCAATAAGGAAACTGTAAACATGTAGATATTCTTTAAATGTTGCTGAGGTTATTATCAGATGAAAATCTATTTTATCTACAAAATTTGATCTCAGTTGTGGAATAAGCAATTAAATAAAAATCAAGTTTTGAGATCTGATCTAAATGTTGCAATACAAAACTAAAGCAAGAAAACCTTATTGTGGCAAAAAAAAAAAATAGATAAGTAAAGCTCAAGATTAGATATTCAATCTTGAGGTAATAAATAACTGGCCTGGGAGGAATCAATAAGCCTGAATGAAAGATCATTGCTGCTCCTCCTCCTCGTTAGCCACTATTTTGTAGAATCTGAAGCTATTCAGAAAAGTGGAGCACCCCAATTCGCAAAACTGGCATCAAGTCAGATTGTCATTGGATTTCTTCCTGCCAAGTAAAATTTTAAGGTGAAACTTTATGATACACAACTTTCTAATCTACCCCTGCTTACATTTTGATGAAAGCAAGGTTATAAACACTACCGTACACCAGTTTCAATGCACTTCAATTATTTATCGTAAGAGAAGCAAAATATCCCATTGCTGATCTGAATCATAGCAAATGGAATTGGTTACTTACTTGTGTCCCAAGTGCTTCAGAAAATATCCAAGTACTTTGAGGGATTGCACACGAATATTTTCACTCTTAGAGGCCAAGAGCTTGTAGACTACCCTGGAATAGACACATGATGCAAATTAGCCAAGAAGCATGGTCTTCAGAGAATTAACTGTAGTCCCATTGATGAAGAGGCACTTCACCGGCTGGCTGACAGCCTCTTTCTTTTGGAACAAATTTGCATGTGGAGGTCTGGATAAAATCAGTAATCTTTTCTTTTGAAGAAACCAAAGTCATTTTAATGTATGTAACTGCAACTTCACAGCTGACATGAGGCAAATATGATCATTTAATATTGCTATCCTATTGTTTTATGTACTTTAATATCCTGCTGATTATTTGTTTTTATTCATTTATCAAACAGACACTAATGTTGTGCAGTGAGGTATGTTGATTTTTGTCAGGAAATCACCACTTGTGCCGTAATCGTATGTTCTGCATGCTTCTTACCGTATTCCATTTCTCTGGTCAAAAGCAGGGATCATGGAAGCTGGATGCTCAGACATGAGAGCTACCACCAACTGCAACACGTCATGCAGGTTTTCATCCTGTAGGCACACCATTATAGAAACACAGAAGAGACAGAAACAGGAGTCAAAGAGTGGAAATGCAGTTTAAGAGTTTTTTTTTTTTTCTATGTAAATGCATCGTCCATCTCTCCTGCGATTGTGAATTTGCCCACAAAATATCCCAGTATAAATGCAGAGCTGCAGAAGCAACATAAGCAGCTAAGTAAATTTCTTAAGCTTCCTCAGATGCTTCCAGTTCAGTTGGAAGATAGAATCCTAATTGTCACCAGTCAGATAATGAACCAAACTCCAAAAATATCTTGCTTGCACTTCACCATCTGGTACTCGGGAAAGATCTCTACCCTCATGGCTTTAGCTCCAGAGGTAGGTTGCAGTTTTCATGTTCTGGGCAGCCAAATGCTTTCTTAATCCCCTTATCATTAGAGGTCGTTGGGATTAAGAAAGCCCCTAATCTGTAGAGGTCCAGAAAAATAAGGCAATTGCAGTATTACAACAAGTAGTTGCAGACTCCTTACCCCACATCAGCTAATGGAGAATAGTTGGACTTGTGCATTGCAGACAAAAATTGAGTTGCTAGTTAAAACAAACTGCTGATAGAAGAAAAATTCTGAGGAGGATTTGTGACAATGCAGCGAAGGGCAGGAGAGTGGCATAAAATCGCTGAGTGAATTCCCTTGGAGGATAGAAAGAGACGTGTACCTCCTGCATTGTTAGCAAATAGTTGAGGATGCTCTGCAATTCATCCTCCTTCACACCTCGATCCTAAAAGAAAACAAAATAATAACGCATTGAATCATTCAGAAGGGGAAGAAAGCATAAAAGACATGTACACTAATAATCAGGTGCTGATTATTTTCTTTGTTCAGGCGTTTTTTGGGGGNCTCATGAGCGCATACAGTAAAAGCCCGAAAGGTCTGGGAATCCTTTAAAATGGACATGGTCTGTCTATGGAGGACAAAGTCTTGGTGGATCACATTATTTTACAGAATGCAGGAGTCGTTCTCACGATCCGATTTTATGCCTCGGTGATTCCTGAGGGAGACAAATAAATATTTAATTTTAATCACTTGCTATCGGTTGATTTTTTTTATTATTATTATTATATTCAGGGATGTACACACCCCTGAACTACCAATCAAAACTTTTTATATTACATTTAAAAGGGAAGGAGGGAGAGAGCGCGGTGTGTAGCATATTTTGGCAGATTGCTCAGCCTTGTGTAAATAAAAAGAAAAAAAAATCACTTCTTGTTTCTGAAAAGCGTGACTTTGGTGAAGTATTACATTGCTATAATTTATTATTTAAGGACCAGGACTTTATAACAATTTATAAGGCTATTATTATATTGAATACATTCAATTATATAGAAAGACGTTAGCCTGGCGCTATTAGCATGAAGAAGCGCCAGCATAGCTCGGTAGCACAGCTTTCTCACTAAGATCGCTAGCTAGGGTTCATAGTTGCACAATTAAATTGCTTAACATTAATAATCATAACATGGAGATTAATGGCTAAATATGTATATTCCACTTACCACTCCTCTGTCGCTGCCATAAGCCAGGCTGATGTCTAAACTGGCTGTGCTTCGACATGGCTACAGCGCTGTTGGAATGGGTTAATGTGATTGGCTGAAACATAAGGTACCCCAACTGGGGTCCGTTCATGTGATTGGCTGAAACAAGGAAGCTGTCTGATTGGTTGCTGATCATCCAATCAGATAAAACATTTATTAAAAACCAACATTTGTGGATTGAGACATCAGGGGAGTCTCAAAATTCATCACACACAAATGCAGCGCAACTCATAGACCAGAAGCAGCTTGTAAATCAAGATATTTGTGTTTCCATCAAAAATACAAGTGCGGCTCTCGTCCTGTGCATTTGTGAATTATAAGACTGTTTTTCAGTGTTTCTTTACACGGTAGGAGATGACAGTACTACCTATACATAATGCAGAAGAGCAGATAAATTTGTAGTTTTACTTGAGGTGGCAGGAACAAGATCAAAGTTCTAAGAGGTAAGCTGCATAACTTCTGGAAAGTCCTTAAAGTAAGCCTTCCAACTGCAGGCTTTGTTAGCGTAGTATAACAATCAATTAACCAATCAATTTTAATCAAATTACAATGTTCTTTAACATCTTGAATGACCCATTTTACTCGTATTTTCAAAACTATATAGACCATCACTATGGATTTGGGAAACATTTGTTTTTGTTCATAGCATGAATGACCTCAAACTCCACACAGCTATCATTTTAAATATCCCCTTTCAATTAAGTATTGAATTAGAATGAATCAGCATCATTACTGTTGGGTCTGTTTTTTGTGGGAGAAGGGGATGTGGGATTCTGCCCCTATTAGTACATTATTTGCAATGGTTGGTAATGTTCAGCTTCTATCATTTTTGAACAAATCTGTATATTAAATGTTTTTGTGTGACTTAAATACAGGACAAGACTAACCTGTGTTGTGGCTGTTGTCTGAATCTTTTTCATCTCCTTGTCTTTGCCATCATCTGACCTTGCAGTCTCAGAGGCGTTGCTCCTTGTCTCTACTCCACCATTCGTCTTATCAGCCAGCAATTCCCCTTCAAATTCTGTTGCACCGTCGGAGGTCTGTGGGATTTTGGAAAAGCCTTCAGTTTCTGAGTTCATGTTTTCCAGCACTTTTTTGAGTTCAAACTCCTCCTTTACCAAGATGCTGGGTAAGGAGCTGCCTGTCATGTGAGCCAGAAGGCCAATTTCATCCCTGGATCCAGTGTGATCGGGAAGCTCTGAATTCGGCAGGACCAGAGGCTCAGCTAGGCTGAGATCCGGTAGGAGATTGTCCTCAATGCTGCCCGTCACCTTGCCAAACAGGAAATTGTTATTTTGAGGGATGTCGTCCTTCTCATCATCCAGTGTAATGAGAGGGGCAGCATTCTGGTCATTCATGCTGCCCTTTGGCATCAACATACTGCTGACATTATTGTCGAGCTTCCGCACAGCGGCACAGTAAACATTATCCAACAGAGACTCCACCTCAACCAGAGGCCCGTTCTCAGATACTCCCACTGTCTCAGAAGACAGCTCTGTGTCATCCATCTTCACCTCTGTAGCTTCCACCTTTTCAGCTTTGATGTCCACAAGAAGGTCATGAACTGCAACTCTGACCCCATCTATTGTATTCTCAGATCCCCCGAAGTCTCCCTCAGGCCCCTTCCCTTCAGTCAGCAGGTTGCGCGAATCAGCACTCTCGTAGTCTGCCTCGCTGTCGGGGGTCTGGGAATGATCATCAATTTCTCCGATCTCAATCACATCTTTGATGTTTGAGGTCTGAGCAGAGAGACCACAGATGGTGCTGACCAAACCCTTCTTCCCTTTCTTTATGTTCTCCTCCTCCTGACGTTGGTACTCTTCATACATCTTTGCTAAATATTCTTTGTGCGCCTCATACGTCACCTGTGGAGAAAATTTAACGAAATACATATAGGATATACTGTAATCCTCTGACTATTATTTAAATGGTTGGCAGATTACTTAAAAGGTCTGCCTCAGCATCAGAGGTCAGTGTTTCTCTCTTTTGTGCTGCACTCACCTTAGAGTGGGCTATAGAGAGAGTGTCCACCCACACACGCCATCCTCCCCATTCATACTTGATGGCATGGTAAAGCAGAATACGGAATATGTTGTACATCATCTCAGTCATTTTCTGTTCTTCTGAGTTTTTGGGGTTAATGTAGCCGAGAGAAAACATCCAGTCTTGCCATACAGAGCACTGCAACAGACACCTGCAAAATTCCAACAGTGAAAACAAATTGGCTTCATGTAAACTGGATAAAACATTGACAAGTAGTACATATTAGGTAATATTTACTACTTGTCAGCTTCTGTATGTTAGAATCTTCTTGCCTTAACCTGATAATAGTCTATTTCAGTTAAATAGTTTAACTTAGCTCTATAAACTCCATGCCTTCAACATCCTAGTACAAGGTTTTGTGAGGTTGAAGTGTGATTCTTCATTTCCTTCAGTAACTGAACAATCATTTGGCATTTTAAATGAACAAAATAGGCTTCATAATGAAATTTGTTCATTTGGATTTTGTTTCAGTCTATTCCTTTGAATCTATTCCCTTTTTAATGGCATATTACATATCGCTACATATAAAGCTTTTGTTGACACCTCAGTAGTTAGAAACGTTGAATATATTTATGAGATAAATTACATAAAAGTTTGACAACCAATTAAATAACTAGTACCAAAAACGGAAAATACGCCTTGCACATGTCATGACTACGGTTACTTTCTTCTCTTACAGGGTAATTATATATAGGTTTCGTGGATTCTCTGCCTTTTCTCCTGGATTCATTCATTGATCTGTCAGATAATTAATAAAGCAAGTGAGAAAAAATGTGGTCTAAGTCTACTTGCCGTCTGTTGTCTCGACTGCTGCTGAAGAGTTTGATCATATCTGAAAGGAAGAGCCGCCGGACCTCCATCAGTTCTGTGCCGGGGGCGGAGCTCTTCAGTAAATTTGCTACGACCTTGAGAATCACTGAAAAGAAATACATTTACAAAAAATAAAATAAAAAGTACACACTTTGTTAATTCCAGCAATCAATTACTGTGGAAGGCAGAGCAACTTGACATCAAGCAGGCTTACTTGGATTCTGAATCTTGACAGTGGAGTCAGGCTCAGGATGAGGTTTGTGAACTACCTGTGTGCACACCTGCTCTGTCAAAATCTGGGATGAGGAGCAGTGAAAAGATTTCCATCACACTCACACAGTTCATAATAATTGAGCATTTATGGGAAAAACAAACAATGCAGTTACCTCATAAAGGGTGTTGTAAGTTGTAACAGACACAGTGTTGGTGTGCAGCATAAGCCTCTCGCCCAGAAGAGTAAAAAGGCTGTGTGTGTGCATGATTTCCACCTTCCTTCTGTTAATACACACATACACACACGCAGAACGGTGAAGTGGTGTGTTTGGAACTTCCTAAGCCACTCAAATCAGTGAGTGCCATCAGCTTGCCTCCCTATGCTCATCCACAGGGAGCCAGGCTCTAGAGACAAGTGTCAGGAAAACCGCCTGCTGTCATAAATTGGGTGAATTTTGTCGGAGGTGTGTATAGGATAAAGAAGTTAGCCTGTCACCAGGAGTGGCTCAAGATACCGAGGCATACTACAGGTGAATAGGTTCAACAGTGACAAACTGAATAAGAAATGCTGTCAGCCAGAGCTTCTTTGTTCGACTTTTTTTTTTTCCTTTCACGTTGTAAAGCTTGGAAATTGGGCACTTAGAAAAAGAGCACCTTTTCTTTCAGCTGCATAAATATGGAAATTTGAAATGAGAGCAGACTGATGATGTATTGCCTACTGAACTGTAAAGCACGAATGTTAAAAGAATGAAGAGAAACAGAGAAGCTTTGCTTTCATGAGACTAGAGACAATGTCAAGATTTTTGACAGATTATATATTTCCACTGAACTGAATGAAGGTAATTTAGTTACAAACCACTGAAGACTTTGTTCCAAAATTTAATGTAAAACAAAAAATGGTTTATATTAATTCCAATGTCTGTATTTGCAGAGGAGAGAGAAAGAAAGACAAATTTGACCAAAATTTAAAACTGCGTAACATTTGCTCTTTACATGGCTTCCAAAACTAAGTGGTATACAGATACAAACGGTACGTTTTGAAACCAAGAACAAACACTGATCACTGCTACCCAAACAGTATGATTTACACATTTGTCTGCAAAAGCAACCTGGAAATAAAATACTGTGGGAAAGAGCTGAGATTTACAAGGTTTTATTTCTGCCTGCAGTAGCATAACTTGGCCTTATGCCTAACCTTATTTCCCATTCGGCATCACCACTCCCTGGCACTCCACTGCTGTGAGCGCAGCATCACCATTTATCCTCTCTGCTCACCCTGCAACCTGCATTTAAAACTGTAAGCTGTCCATCCAAAAAAGTTTCTTATTATCTGTCTTGACATGATGTTCTAACATTTTAGTTTGTTTTGTTTTTTTCTTCTTCTTAACTGCATCTTAGGCCTCTTCCGATCATGCTAATTAATGAGTAAAGGCATGGTGCAAAGACTTCACTTCAGGAGACAAACAGGTTCAACTCATGTCCACAAATAAATACTCAGATCATTCTAGAAGAATCCACTTATGCACTTTCAAAATTAATTATGTGCATCCAAGTCATAGTACAGTAAATTCCAAGTTTAGTTTATAATGCCGGTTGAAATAAGGTTACCAAAGCAAACCTCACAGATTTTAGTTTGACTCTTTGACTTGCTCCTTTTTGCAAACATGTCGGCTGAATGTTGCAGTCGTTCAGTGCAAGAATCAGACTTTTTTTTTTTTTTTTCAAAATTAGGTAGGACAAATTTTTTTTCCATCTTCTTTATATTGTTCAGTGCTACAATCTCTGAGCTTGTGAAACTATCAATAAAACAATTTGTAGAAATTAGGTAGCTACCCACTGCTGCCATGTTCTGCAATAAGGAAACTGTAAACATGTAGATATTCTTTAAATGTTGCTGAGGTTATTATCAGATGAAAATCTATTTTATCTACAAAATTTGATCTCAGTTGTGGAATAAGCAATTAAATAAAAATCAAGTTTTGAGATCTGATCTAAATGTTGCAATACAAAACTAAAGCAAGAAAACCTTATTGTGGCAAAAAAAAAAAATAGATAAGTAAAGCTCAAGATTAGATATTCAATCTTGAGGTAATAAATAACTGGCCTGGGAGGAATCAATAAGCCTGAATGAAAGATCATTGCTGCTCCTCCTCCTCGTTAGCCACTATTTTGTAGAATCTGAAGCTATTCAGAAAAGTGGAGCACCCCAATTCGCAAAACTGGCATCAAGTCAGATTGTCATTGGATTTCTTCCTGCCAAGTAAAATTTTAAGGTGAAACTTTATGATACACAACTTTCTAATCTACCCCTGCTTACATTTTGATGAAAGCAAGGTTATAAACACTACCGTACACCAGTTTCAATGCACTTCAATTATTTATCGTAAGAGAAGCAAAATATCCCATTGCTGATCTGAATCATAGCAAATGGAATTGGTTACTTACTTGTGTCCCAAGTGCTTCAGAAAATATCCAAGTACTTTGAGGGATTGCACACGAATATTTTCACTCTTAGAGGCCAAGAGCTTGTAGACTACCCTGGAATAGACACATGATGCAAATTAGCCAAGAAGCATGGTCTTCAGAGAATTAACTGTAGTCCCATTGATGAAGAGGCACTTCACCGGCTGGCTGACAGCCTCTTTCTTTTGGAACAAATTTGCATGTGGAGGTCTGGATAAAATCAGTAATCTTTTCTTTTGAAGAAACCAAAGTCATTTTAATGTATGTAACTGCAACTTCACAGCTGACATGAGGCAAATATGATCATTTAATATTGCTATCCTATTGTTTTATGTACTTTAATATCCTGCTGATTATTTGTTTTTATTCATTTATCAAACAGACACTAATGTTGTGCAGTGAGGTATGTTGATTTTTGTCAGGAAATCACCACTTGTGCCGTAATCGTATGTTCTGCATGCTTCTTACCGTATTCCATTTCTCTGGTCAAAAGCAGGGATCATGGAAGCTGGATGCTCAGACATGAGAGCTACCACCAACTGCAACACGTCATGCAGGTTTTCATCCTGTAGGCACACCATTATAGAAACACAGAAGAGACAGAAACAGGAGTCAAAGAGTGGAAATGCAGTTTAAGAGTTTTTTTTTTTTTCTATGTAAATGCATCGTCCATCTCTCCTGCGATTGTGAATTTGCCCACAAAATATCCCAGTATAAATGCAGAGCTGCAGAAGCAACATAAGCAGCTAAGTAAATTTCTTAAGCTTCCTCAGATGCTTCCAGTTCAGTTGGAAGATAGAATCCTAATTGTCACCAGTCAGATAATGAACCAAACTCCAAAAATATCTTGCTTGCACTTCACCATCTGGTACTCGGGAAAGATCTCTACCCTCATGGCTTTAGCTCCAGAGGTAGGTTGCAGTTTTCATGTTCTGGGCAGCCAAATGCTTTCTTAATCCCCTTATCATTAGAGGTCGTTGGGATTAAGAAAGCCCCTAATCTGTAGAGGTCCAGAAAAATAAGGCAATTGCAGTATTACAACAAGTAGTTGCAGACTCCTTACCCCACATCAGCTAATGGAGAATAGTTGGACTTGTGCATTGCAGACAAAAATTGAGTTGCTAGTTAAAACAAACTGCTGATAGAAGAAAAATTCTGAGGAGGATTTGTGACAATGCAGCGAAGGGCAGGAGAGTGGCATAAAATCGCTGAGTGAATTCCCTTGGAGGATAGAAAGAGACGTGTACCTCCTGCATTGTTAGCAAATAGTTGAGGATGCTCTGCAATTCATCCTCCTTCACACCTCGATCCTAAAAGAAAACAAAATAATAACGCATTGAATCATTCAGAAGGGGAAGAAAGCATAAAAGACATGTACACTAATAATCAGGTGCTGATTATTTTCTTTGTTCAGGCGTTTTTTGGGGGCTTTTTTTATAAAGAAAATTTCCATGTCATGAATTCTCACTAAGATCTGACTGGGTTTTCCAGCTGTTTTTTTTATTCTCCAGTGAAACGGAGAATGAAATGTTTTTGAAATGTATTGTAGTGGAACAAATATCCAAACAGATTGTTTATGCTGGAGCAATCTGTTTGGATGCTAGTAATTATGTCGGCCCAAACGCCAGCAGACACTTTTAAAGGGTCCAGTTTTTAACAATTCTGGACCGTTGCCTTTGGATTGGCTCATAAGACTGCACTGTATAGCTTGTGCATACAATTTGGTTGAGAGTGACTATACTATGACATTCACAATGAGAGAGATAATGTAGCTTCGAGGGCTGTCTGTCTGTCATGTGACCTATCTTATCCTGCTAGCTGGACTCCGTTGTGCACAGGCAGCTGTGTAACGGAGGCAGTTTTTTTTTTTTTTTACACTACTCATTAAATTTTTGAAAAAGCAACTTTTCTTGTAAGTTCTGTCTGCACATAATTAACTGCAATCACATAAAAGTCAGCATGCCAACAGTAGAATACCACTTAAAGAGATATGGGTGGAAACACCTTAAGATGTAGTTTATTGAAAGCTGTGGCTGTATGGGGTTGATTCAAATATAGCTTTAAAAACAAATGAAGCTACTGGTTTAGCCTTATTTTTAAATTACATAAATCTTTTGGGACAAAAAAAAAATCCTGCTGAAGTCAATATATGCGAAAACAGTACAAAGAGTAAGAACCTCACGTCGTACTGGAATCCAGACATATATTGTATTTTTACTTAATATTTAACTTTAAGATATACATAAAAAGACCCGCTTCTCAGCACAGCTAACTTCATAAGGAGCACAACAGTAGACCATCTCAAAGGATAAAGGCAAAATCTCTAGATTTTCTCAGTGCCGTTGTGTAGGGAATCTGATGTATGAAGACAGGTGGGATATACCTTCAGAATGAGTTGTTTGAGGAAGAGAAGCATGAACGCCCGCAGAGAGATTACCTCTTTCTGGGTTGGCCTCGGCCCATCTGTGGTTTCAGAAAATAAAAAAAATAAAAAGAATGAAGCAAGGATAAGAAAGAAAAGCAGATATCATCTTTCTTCTGCTGTCAATTTTTAAGTCTTCTTTCTGAGTTGTCTTTGAGCATGTGAGAGAATTGACACACTCTGAATGCTCTAAAACCTTGGGTGTATAAGCTGAAGTTTTAACCGATTTCAACAGCAACATAGTAGTTTTTTTTTTTTTTTTTTTTTCATTTTTCTTTTTTGATAGAGAGGAATTTGTAGATTTGCAATGAATACAACAAGCTGGAAAGGAAAGGTCGTCTGGAATATTCCTTCCAAATGTATCCATCATTTCCTGCTGCGTCTAAACTCAGACAGTCTCCCAAGTAACCTTGGCCGCAGCATGGGGTCCAGGCTGCCAGTCTAAGGTCACCTTATGCACACATGGCCATCAAACCGAACAACAACACATTATAACAGCACTGGATTCATCTGACAACTTCAAATCACTTTGGCATTCTGACGATGACCTCATATCGTAATTTATTTCTCATCTCTTTATAATATATCCACCAAAATTAACAATAGCTGATAAGTTTTGCTACCAGGAGTATACATCTTGTAAAAATTAGGAGGAATCTCAGGATACATTTATTTATCGCCATGTCAGAGATCTGTTTGGCACAGGAATCTTTTTTTTTTTTTTTTTTTAATAGCAGATTTTATTCAAAATTCCCTGGTTTTTGGCCCAGCCTGTTTTTATGTACACAGAGTTAATAAGCTGCAGCTACAGCCAGATCAATAAAACCCAAGAGTATTCATTAGGACACAGCAGAAATCACAATATATAGAATGCGCTGACCTTGTTGCGCTAGCAGAACTCCTGCTGTTACACTAAAGGTTTGTCAAAGTTTCAGTCGTGTTAACCCATTTGTTGTTTATCCCGTGCAAAAAGCAAAGCACTGGGACAGAGAAAATCCTCTGCCACTACGGTGCTATTATATAGCACCAGCTGGGTTAAATACAATAACAAGAGGAAGTTCAGAGAAAATTGGTCACTTTGCCCAATGCTCCCCACTCTCCTTCCCTGCACTGATAAACTCCAACCTCTGCCTTGGCTGAACACATGTTTATTTGAAATGGGAACCGATATAATGGCAGCAGACACCTGACCATCCTGCTACTTCAGCCAGTCAATGTAATCAATGATGAGGCTCCCTGAGGAAGGTGGAGGAAGGTAAGTGCCTCTGCATCCTGACACTGATTAATAGCAGTAGAGAGGAAACTCCACCAAAGGGATAGAGCCGAACATAAAAGGGATGATAAGAACATTATTACCACAGCCACCACATCTAAGTTATTCACAACCAATTATGCTCACCAACCCTGCATGGCCCTTGTTTCTCATTCACAGACTGCTTTAATTCCTGCGTCCCAAAGGCACAGGAAGAATGAGTTTATTGAAAAACAATTTATGTCCATGTGATTATTGCTGGAATTTTATTGCAGCTTATGAATGATAATAAAGTCAAGACAATAACATGCGTCTGTTATAGTTGTACAAACCTTTCCACATAAAAAGGATTTATTACAGATTAACTCCCTGTGTCCTTGATAACAGAAACCCTTGTTTTTACATTTGGAGCAGCATTAGCAGGTATTCGGCTGGAGTGTAATAATGGTACATGCGTTTTCTTGACAGTTGTGGGTATGAGCTTTTTAGTCATATTGTGATAATATACAGAAAAAAACTCCAGTGACATTTTAAATCTGCTCACATCCAGGCCATTTATGAGAGGAATTTTACATTCTGGCATTCAACTTTTAAACATTAGAATATGAAGTGACAAAACAAAACAGAAAATAAAATCAAAGAGCACAGATAATTCAGAGACTAAACACCCACCATTTTCACTGCAGTCTAACGTTTGTGAACATCCTGGTTCCTTAGTGAACCATAGTGATGGTGGACAAAGAAAGATGCATCAAATAGAAGCTTTAGTTTTTTTTAGTTTTTTTTTTCCTTTTGCCTCATTAACCGTCACTAACAATTCAGGTGAGTCCTAAGGCATAAGTACTATACAACTCTTGTCAGCAGTGGACTGTCGTGCTTTGTTGTTGAAAACACCATTTTTAAAACATATCTTGCGTGTAACTAAGAGACGTTATGGAGTTCTCATGAGCAAATTCTAGGTTCAAACATTGACGTTCAAGTGTCTCTGTGTCCTAAAAGTCAGCCATTTGGAAAATAGGGCCTAACAACCCCTGCAAAGGTTTGATCGCTAGCCTGGCTATTTCCTTCCTGTGCAATTCTGCTTGATTCTAATCACACTTCACAGCACAATCTGGGCATTCTCCTATTGACTTGGATTCTCCCGGTAGAACTTCAACCTGGCCAATCAGTGAACAGAAGGAGAAGTTGTGAATAACAGTGTAATTTTTCTACGCTGTTGTAGAATTATAGTCTATCATTAGTTTTGGCAATGGCAGAGAAGGAAGTGAACAGAGCCATTTTGTTCTCCTTTCACCACACAAACTTGCCCATTTGGACTTTGTAATGGACCACAGAACATGACACAATGAAAGGTTTTATTTTCTGAGGAGAAATAGTTAATCTTTCCAATGGTGGTGTTTTTTAAGTTCTGCACAGTGAAGGAGGCTCCACCATGATTTAAGAACCCAAAACGTCTAAAGTCCATTATCTCTGTTAATGATCTGTCCTTTAAATGAGAGACAAAACAAGCTTGAACTGGATGTGCTGACTGGCCAAGAAGCTTTGCTGCCCACCTCATTACACACAATTTGGTAAAAATGAAGCCAGCACAGAGACTGAATAGATAAGAGAGGAAAAAGCTAATATGTTGGCTGTGGATTCAAGTCTTAGTCTGAGAGAAACTGAGCATCTGCCTGATAGCTGGGACAGATTCTGTACTATAACCAAATGATACATGGCTTTAATATGAGAGCACTCTCTGTCAAGACCTGCAAAAAACACAAGAAACTAAAAAGAGGATTTGCGTTGAGATAAAGAACAAGTGAGATCTGTTTTAAATGTTCTCTCTGAGTCCCAAAACTCAACACTTCATTATCTATGTGGTTCTCTTTTTTTTTTTTTTTTTTTTTTTTTTTTTTTTTTTTTTTACTTTGTGTTTGTTTGGCCATTCCTCTGTTCAGAAGGACAGAGAGAAAATGTGAGCTGCCCAGGCAAGCAAAGACAAATGAAACTGGGGAGCCTGAGACTAATGTACACCATGAATGTGATCCATTTTAAGATGCATCCCCAGCTGTAGTTCCTTTCGCCTTTCTTTAAAATCAAAGGTGTAATTTGTCTTCTATTCAAAGGTCTTCATTTGGAGAAGAGAAAAGGGAGCTTAATGGATATTTGTGATTAACAAATGGGTAACACAATTTGGGATGGGCAAATTTTTATATGTCTTTGCAATTAAAAGGAAAATCAAACAAATAAGTGTTGTCAACTTTTAATTCAATAGTGATATACTTTCTTATACAAACTTTTACACCTTCCCACCTTGTTCTTAGTTTTATTTTAATGCATGCACATTGCTGAGAAAATACCCTCACTGATCTATTCAATCATTTATACCAATATAATAAACCCTGGGCCATTACTCCTGGCTCAAGACAATCCGGAGGTCTTGCTCTATCTCTAGGCTTTACACAAATGACTGATTTCTGCTCATAATATGCAATAATGGTAAAAGCAAGACAACTGCAATATAATAATGGAAAAGACAAGCAATTTCTTCTTTTTTTTTTAAAAAAAAAAGCATATTTCCTCCTATTTTACCAGAGTTGATTTGGTAAAATAGTCTGATTTGACTGTGATTTACGCACATGTTCTTAATACACACACTGATGATAAAATACAATCGTCTGAATAACGCATCCAGTTTTTCTATAAAGCATACTTTACAAACCATTCTTGCATATCATATAGCTTAAGTGACAGTGGTGCACTATCATCAGTGATACACAAGTAAATGAGCTAAAGAGTGGAACTGAATAATGTCCCTTGATCAGCTCTCATTTCAGACACAAATTCTGAAAAACCACAACAATCACCATGTTTTTTTTTTTTCCCAACATGACAATTTTTGTTGTATTTAAATTGGATGAAGATTAGAAGGATACACTGACACATAAATGCTAATTGTCTTGTGATTCCTTTGTGTTGTTTTGACTTAAAACTACTGCCTATATCAACAAACCTGCATAGCATTTTTTTGGGTGTGTTATAGTACTTCAACTTTGAAAAAAAAAAAAAAAATCTGAACCTGTCAAAATTGAAAAACAACAGGTCAGACCTCCAGGAAAACTGAAATCTGTATCAGAAAACAAAAGCCTGGTTGATGCATCCCCACACTGAAAACAAGACAGTAGGTTAAACACCTGACTGGAGAGATGAGAAGTAAAGATGAAGGCCCAGTGGAATCCATAAGTCAAAATAACCCTGATAAACGAAGCATAAGGATAATTACAACTATCGTAAGGCAATTCATTACGATCCCGTTCTAACAAATCAGAAGAAGAATGAACTTCATAAAAGAATCTGCAATATTCTTCCAGTTCTTACACTCTGGGATTAATTTAACTACCTGCAGTATTAATACAAATGAAAATTACCAGTAGGAACAATTTAAGCAGAGGCATAGAAAAAAAAAAAATCTCTTTTGGATTAACTGACCTTTGATTGTGTGAGGAGTATTACATCAATGCTGTCAAGCTCCAACCTTCAGCACGTAAATTTTATTGGGCCTTGGTGCAGCATAAAGTGGGGTCTCGAAACCAATATAAAACAGCCCCTATATTAGAAAGTGGGTAGTTTTTGAAAAGAATAATGGATAGCAAAAAGGAAATGACAGTTCAAGGACACTTTCTTTTCCTTTACAGCTCGCTTGGTGATGTGCTGTTTCACAGACTTAGTGTGCCAGTCAGTAGACTGGGCCACGTTTCATAGACTCAACACCCACAGCAAGCACCTTACTGGGATCACAATAGATGATATAGCGTGTCTGCCTAAACTGCCATCTCTCGGCCACAGTCCCAACAGCTGACAGATAAACCTTTCTGTGTGGCGATGAGTCATTTAAAAAGTGGTGGAGCTGCTTCAATTTCTGTCGTCGCTTTGATAACAGCCTTGGGACCGCACACAAGACTGGTTTTTGGTTCACTCCCAGTGGTTTCCTTTCTAAAATTCTAAGTTTGGTTTGGATTCATCCTGAGGTAGATGAGAAGCCTACAACAACCCATATAAAATCAAATTATGGTTATTGCACACACACAAAAAAAAAAGTAACTCAACATCCAGATGAATTAAAATTAAATATGCTCACCTAATCCCTTTGGAGCGATGCCACTGCTGTCTGCGGGATTGGAGGCCCAGTAGTAGTATTTCAGCATATGCATGAGCTGAAGGACTGTACCAACTCGACGGATTGTGTTGTAGATGGTAGCTGTGCCAATGAACTCAGCAGAAAGATATGTGTATAATGAAAGCTGAACCTGGAATGAGAAAAACAAATATATGTATTCATATTACCAACAGCACAGTGAAATAATCATTAAAGGCACATAACAGCTTAATCGACTAGACGAGGAGTGGAAATTAACAGGTGGCAAAAAAACAAAAAACAAACTGGAAGCAGAGCAAAGAGATAAACCTGAAGTTGAAGTGCATGGTGAATCTAAAACATGGATTTTTAAATGGAAGTGGAAAAGTACGTTTCAATTCCCGTCTTTGATGAGAACAGTCAGTCATTTTTTTTGTCATCAATGTTGGCGGGTGCTTTTGCAGTCTTGGTTTTTATGTACCCAACTTTTTCTTTGACAACCGATGATTTAGAGCACTTTTCTGTTATTTATTGCTGTCTATTGCAATGAAATGCAGTTATGCAACTCTGAAAACCAGATTTTCCTTGCACCAGAAAAAAATGGACAACACTGGAGTTTAGGACCATTACTGGTATGATTTCAAATGATTTTAGCTATAGGAAAGATACTCTAAAGAAACACCATATCTAGGGTAGTCCCTAAATTCCCTTATGAGTGGTAGAGTATGCAAGCTTTAGCTATTTTATATGCTGTGTGACATTTTAAAACACAAACTTTAGAAAGGCGCCCTTACAAAAAGGAAGGACACTTGTGATTATTCTTTTGTTGCAACAAAGCTTCTTTGAAATAAATGTTACAATAAACTTCTCCATCAACTCCCCCGGATGGTATCTCCAAAAGTTTCCACATCCTTCCTATAATCGGCCTCATTACAGCCAAGAACGACAAGGAGTTGAGATTTTATGGACTTGTGCCAGCAGAGCCATCTGTAGATTAATTTCATGGCTGTTTAGCCTTTATACATTTGACATAACTGTGGAATAAATGCTATCGTTTATTTATTTTTTTAATTATTACAGATTTGGAGTTGTAACTGTCTGCTTCCCATTTGCCTGTTACTTTGCTTCTGATACACTGTGTTTCCAGCTGTGGGTTGGTGATATTCTACTCCATTCAATGTTCAGGCTGAATGGCTGGGATTAAAATAGCTATCTTTGTTAATACAAAACGATGATTTCCTGAAAAATAATAAACTGGGAAATAACAGAAACAAAATGCAGTGGAGTTTTAGCCAGGAAAAAATTATCCATTTACAAAGCTTCACCTTCAGTCCAGGGTCCATCCAAAAAGCTCTTTCTCTTTATCTTGGCCATTTTCAGAGCAGATTTCAACCCACCTTTTGTCTGATTTGACCCTGGTTCTTACACTGGAAATAAGGAGAGGAAAAAAAAAAACTCCCCCCCCAAAAAATCATTCTAGTTTCTAAAGGATTCTTGCAGTGGAAATTCACCTTTACATAAACAGAAAGAAATGCAGCCATAAAATACAATTTATTCACAAGGTAATGCCAGAAGTCTCCTACTTTAATGCAAGTCACACAGCTTGCAGCATGCTATAAGTTGGTAGCAGAAAGGGACAGGTAAATGAATTTTACCACTTTGGCCACCTAGGAGAGTGCACCCGAGCAGCTGGCCTCAGAGACGCTCAAAGTGCTCCAACTCCTTTCATTACCAAGCCGTTTCTCATTTTTCATCCATCCTTTCTGATCGCTCCATTTTGAAGTGTCACTGGCATGCCTCCGGGCAGTTTGGTATTTCTTTCATACTTCTATTTATATATTTGTGTGCTGCCTACCAATGAAAACACACACACACACACACGCACACACACACACACACACACACACATTTGCCGCACACAGACACTGTACTTCTTTAGTACGTCTGATTTCATTTTATGGGTAATTATTTAAATGTAGGACTGGAAAAACTCCAAAACGTTTAAAAAATGTATTTGAGACCAGTGAAATTGGAGCATAACGGCAACATTTCAATGTTGTATGCAATTTAAAAATGTATCGCACGGGAACAAAACAGTTTAAAGTGTCCAATTTAGGACACGCCACCATTTTTACACAACTTGCAATTGGGGGTGGGGAACGAAGCATTCTTCCTCATGCTGCGAATTGCCGTAACACCTTTTGTTGTGTTAGTTGTGGACTTGGTTTAATAGCTTTCATTTAGATACTGAGAACAAGTTACGGTTAGATTTAACTGTTCTTTTGTTCCTTCATTTAAATATTTATTCTCATTTGCACGTATTTCACCAGTAGTTTTACACATTATCTGCTGCCTTTGAAAGCTCCCCGAGATTGTCACAAAGAAAATGTCTACTTGTCATCCTGCTTCCACAAAAAGAACATTTGATCAACACAAATTTGTCTTCACAGTTTTACAAAGGCAGCGGTGACAAACAGTCGAGTTTGAATCTCTGGTTGCTCATCTTGCCGTTTGCGGTGGCTCACCTTGGCTGGGGTGTAGATCCAAATGGCTGCATTAAACAGGATGTGATCGCACAGCTGCTTCAGCAGCGGCGCTCCATGTGGCAGACCGTCGAGATACTTTGCAAAGGAGAGGAACTGCTCTAAAACAGCCCTGCTGATGTGTGCACGAGAAGACTGAAAACACAGAGCCGCAAAATCACAATAATAAAAAAAAACACATTCATGATGGCATTTTAATATGGTCACTGCATTCTGAAAATCTAGTTAGTTGTAAATGAACATTTTAACAAATCTGACCTATAAGACTATTATAGTTGACCTGGAAACAAATTAAGCTCATAATATGCAATATAATTTCTATACTTGCACATGCTGAATTTTCTCTTTAATGCACTGGTACCAGTTAGCCCATTTACTGGAAGAAAAGGCACGTCAAGGTTTGTAAAAGAGCCAGTTTCAGAACGTCTTAAATTTTCCATCGTACCATTTTCACAAATTAAAGTTGTTTTGAAGAGATGGCAGAGAAAATGTCAGAGTGACCAGAGTTTTCTCCAGCTGTGTGGAGCAAAGCATAGCAGTGTCTGCCCCCCTCACCTGTTGCTGCACACTGCTAATCACCTGGCTGTAAGAAAGTTTTTCCCTTTCTTACAAGAAAGACAAATTCACCTAAAAGAATGACAAACTATTTTTCTTCTTGGACTCAAGTTTATCATACTGTGAGACTCTCAGACAAACTCATACCTGGTAGAACACAAAATGTATAAATGCTTTCGGAGTAACCAATGGAGGTTTCTTGGTCACAAAAAAAAAAAAATTCCCCTCTCACCCTCCATGGGTGGTCTCTTTCATCCTCTGAGCTCGGGTCCTCT